CGGGGCGCGGGGCGGCGGTGCGGGACCGCTCCATCCCTGACGCCGGCGGGACGGCCCTCTCCCCTCTGTGCCCGCAGGAGGAACCGCGGGTAGGCTCCACGCCGCTGGCCATGCTCGCCGCGACCTGCAACAAGATCGGCAGCCCCAGCCCCTCGCCGTCCGCCCTTTCGGACAGCGCGTCCTCCTTCGGCAAAGGCTTCCACCCCTGGAAACGCTCCTCCTCCTCAGCCTCGGCGGGCAGCTGCGGCGCCGTGGGCTCCGGCCTCCCGGGCTTCGGCGTGGCGGGCGCGGCGCGGAACGGCTCCTCGGCGGCGGCGGCGGCGGCGGCAGCGGCGGCGGCMGCCCTGGTCTCGGACTCGTTCAGCTGCGGCGGCTCGCCGGGCTCCAGCGCCTTCTCCCTCACCTCCAGCAGCGCGGCGGCCGCCAGCTCGCCCTTCGCCAACGACTACTCCGTCTTCCAGGCGCCGGGCAGCGCCGGTGGCGGCGGCGGCGGCGGAGGCGGAGGCGGCGGGGCCGCGGGACAGGAGGCGGCGGCGCACCAGCCCGTCTTCATCTCCAAGGTGCACACGTCGGTGGAGGGGCTGCAGGGCATCTACCCGCGGGTGGGCATGGCGCACCCCTACGAGTCCTGGTTCAAGCCCTCGCACCCGGGGCTCGGCGCCGGCGAGGTAGGCTCAGCGGGCGCCTCCAGCTGGTGGGACGTGGGCGCCGGCTGGATCGACGTGCAGAGCCCCAACGGCGCGGCCGCGCTGCCCGGCTCGCTGCACCCGGCGGCCGGCGGACTCCAGACCTCGCTCCACTCGCCACTGGGCGGCTACAACTCGGATTACTCGGGCCTGGGCCACTCGGCCTTCAGCAGCGGCGCCTCCTCGCACCTCCTCAGCCCCGCCGGGCAGCACCTCATGGACGGATTTAAGCCGGTGCTGCCCGGCTCCTACCCGGACTCGGCCCCCTCGCCGCTGGCCGGCGCCGGGGGCTCCATGCTGGGCGGCGGCCCCGCCGCGCCGCTGGCCGCTTCTCCGCGCTCCTCCGCCCGCCGCTACTCGGGGCGCGCCACCTGCGACTGTCCCAACTGCCAGGAGGCCGAGCGGCTGGGGCCGGCGGGGGCCAGCCTGCGGCGCAAGGGGCTGCACAGCTGCCACATCCCCGGCTGCGGCAAGGTCTACGGCAAAACCTCGCACCTGAAGGCSCACCTGCGCTGGCACACGGGCGAGCGGCCCTTCGTGTGCAACTGGCTCTTCTGCGGCAAGCGCTTCACCCGCTCCGACGAGCTGCAGCGGCACCTGCGGACCCACACGGGCGAGAAGCGCTTCGCCTGCCCCGTCTGCAACAAACGTTTCATGCGCAGCGACCACCTCAGCAAGCACGTCAAGACCCACAGCGGCCCCGGAGGTGCCGGGGGCCCCGGCGGCGGCGGTCCCGGCGGCGGCCCCGGCCCTGGCGGCAAGAAGGGCAGCGACACCGACAGCGAGCACAGCGCGGCCGGCAGTCCGCCCTGCCACTCCCCGGAGCTGCTGCCGCCCCCCGAGCCCGGCCACCGCAACGGCCTGGAGTGACGGGCGGAGGCGCGGGGCCGTCGCGGCCCCCAGTCCCGCCGCCCTCCTGGTCGCGCAGCCCCCCCGAGCGCGCAGCCCTGCGGCGGGGACGCGGACACGTAAGTAGCCGGCACGGCTCCGCAGGAACAGCGCTCAGCCCCGCGGCCGCTCCGCTGCCCTCCCGGAGCTCCGCACGGGGCTGGCGGTGCGGCCGGGCCGCGCAACCTCCGCGACGGGGGCGAGGGAGCGGCTCGGCGAGAGGGAGAGAGCCGCGATCCCCCCGTGGGGCGGCCGCGCCGCCGCCTCCCTTCCCCTTCGCCTTGAGACCCCCTGCCTCGTGTTGCTTTTAGAGCGGAAAAAACAGCCACGTTSCCCGTCGCTTTGCTGCTGGAAAGCGGCCCGTACACTCTCCCTCGGCCACTGGCGCCGGTACAGCCGCGGTACCTCGGCGGGGCGRGCCTCCGACGGCAGCGCCGCCAGCCGCGGGCCGTGCCCCCGCACAGCGCCGAGCTSACCTCGGACCTGCTCTCATCCCGGTAACTGCTCAGAACCCGTCTGCTCCCCGGGACCAGAGTGGCAGTGTGCTTATTTCCCTCTCCCCTTTATTTTTTATCAGTTTTAACAAATCGTTTACCTCCTCGAGTCCAAATTTCATTGCGTTTGCCAGCGCATTTGTATAATTCTCGTTTGAGCAGGAATCGTGGAATACGCTGAAAATAATTAGGTTGAAAGTCGTGTTTTCTTTTTAACTTCAGACAAAGGAAGAAGCACCGTGGGTTTCAAGCGAAGATGTATTTCCAATGCCAAAAAAGGGAGGCTGGGGGGGAATAGGAGAATTAAATATTTGTAAAATACRTCTGAACCTATAGGTTTGTACCACTGGGGAATCGTTCTAGATTAGCTAACAATTAAAACTCCACCAATGTATCGGTGTGAGGTGCAGTTGTCCAGGAGACGATTTTGTATAGTATTTTTCTTGTAAATTACTTCCAGTAAATATTTGAAAATATATTGAAGTACACTTGAGCATTTTTTTTTTCTTTTTTTTTTATTTTTATTTCCTTTCCTGTCACAAGAAAACATTCTTGTTGCAGTCCTGGTTCGCTGCATTTTTTTTTCTGGACTCCTTTCTTGAAGCGTGCATCAAATCACACTTCAGGATATAGGTTTTGCTTGAATATTAATTTAGCTAGGCATACAACTGTAATTAAGCAAACAATATTTGATAAATGTTGAATGACATTTAATTTAATGGAGCATGTACTTATTTGCATTTGCTGGCAGTTCAGGTATAGTTACGGTGAGAGTTCTCCTATATTTCATAAAGTGGGTTTGCCACGACCCATGTATTAAATAAACTGTCCAAGTGAAAATGAACTAATGTTGGCCTATGTGTATTTCCTGMAAATAATATTGATAAATGTTAATAAACACTCCTGACACTACATTAGCGGTTTGCAATGCTGCAAACTAATTGTCTCATTGTAATGTTGAAATAATTTGGATATTTCACATTGAAATGAAAAGCCCTTCGCTGGAACATTTTAGATTTGCATTTTAAATGCATGAATTGTAATTGATTTTTATCTGTAATATTTTAAATGGTATTAATAAACTCCTGAAAAACATTCTACCTTAGGTCAGCCAGTTGTTTTTCTCCTTCGTAAGTCCATCATTACAGTCAATGATTTACTTTGAACTCATATGTCATGAGTTGTTCTCTAGAATTTCAGAGAGAAATGAAAATACAACGAATTTATTTGTAGCATCTACTGAGAGAAGCTTTTAGGCATTAAAATGACTAAGTTRTTTTGTTTCATGCTTTTTACAATGCATTATTAGAGGAAACTAAATGAAAGACGTTAGTTCCTTTTATTAAAAAATTATTTTTATCAGACTAATAATGCAGTGCTTCTTACAAAACCCAAGTGTGTTTGAAAAGGTGCTTTGCATATACCTTCTCCTTGAAATAATTTTTCTCATAAAGCCAGATCCATTGTGAAAGGACATTTAATATTGAAATGCTGAGGGTCATTATTGCTTTAAAAGACAAAATAAAAAGTGGTCCTCTGCTTTTGTTTTGAGGTAAGGTGGCTGTGGCTGGGAGCAATGCTAATTGCTGTGGTGAGCACTAACTTCTTCAGGTCTCAGGGCTGGGAAACTTCCCGGTTGTGTGTGAAAACTCCCTTCTTGTTCAGGGGCGTTTTCCCCACAGGACCGGGAATCTGGGCAATTGCAGGGGCTGCGGCGTGTTGTCTGCCAGCCGGTCCAGCACTGCCGTCCTTACTGTGTCCTTTAAATATTTTCCTCAAGCTGTCCCTGAACAACAATAAAAACAAAAWTGTGAGTGTCTTTGCCATTTTCTTAGTGTTTTGGCAAAAGCCCCCAAAACTACAAACCAAAAATGAAAACAACCCAAAACCCTCAAACTCCTAACACTTTGCTTTACCACCTCTTTTTGGGGGTGGGGAAGTGTGTGGAAGATGTGTTGTCTCTGTTTGGATATCTGGCCTCTTGTGTTACATGGGGAGATTATGTTCACTGTCAGGGTACTGAAAAATCAGGGCTGGAACATGGACTTTGCATAGCAGAACGATCTTTTGTGCATACATGTAAAGCACATTGTTAGTAGTACCTGAAGCAGCAGGTATTAAAATGCAGGGCRAAAAAGCACAAACGAGTCAACTCCAGATGCATTCAAGGTTTTGTTCCTCTGCACGGTGTAGGGGTTAGACAGGACTGTAACCACCACTACAAATAAGAGTTGACTTTTTCTGAGCTGTAATCTGTTTTTTCTTCAGTGCAAGTGCAGCCAGGAGAGGCTTGCAAAGTTTGCTACTGAAACAAAGCAACAGTTTGCTCTGTTTCTTTTATTATTTTTTTTTAATGCTATGTAAATGGAGTGCTATAGCAGTACCTGATTTCCTCACTGGGAGTGAAAGGCAGTGGTTATGTTGCTTGGAAATTTTGGTCCCGATGGAATGGTCTGAGCACCTGGTAAAAAGGGTAATGGAGCAGAGGATAACTTCTAATGCTGCTTCTCTGATATCCACCTGAAAAGAGAGCGCTATCAAAATGCTGTTGTCTAGGAGCTTGATGGTTTCTTTAGGGCACTGATTGCTCCGTCTCAGGGCTGTCTGGCGGTGGGATAGAGACAGCAACAAAACTCATCCTTCCCCCAGGAAGAAGCATGAGCTTCTGCTGTGTGGCAGCCGTCGGTTTGGATCCAGGCTGTGTGAGAACACACATATTTTTTCCTTTCTTTTACCAGCAAAACCCCGCACTTGAAGGCTGAATAGCTCCTTTTTGTAGTGGATTTACTTTTACTAAACCCTTCCAGATAAGGGCATTGAGTTGCTTGATAGGAGCCGGGAACTTGTCTCTGTGTTGTGCAGATCAAGGTAGAGTTAAACTAGTTTACTGACCYACAGGTCAAACCGGTGTCCATCAACCTACCTTCCAACCGCCTGCAGATGATTGTGGCCATTCCCGTTTGCTCTCTGACCTTTTAAGTCGCTTCCCTTCAAGCTCGTAGCAATGTCTATCGAATTTCATGTCCTGCTTTACCCATTATTCTGGCTTTTTATTGTCATTTTCCAGTTTAAATTCTCAATAGAGCAGTGATGGGAGATGTGTGGAGCTGAAGTGATTTAAAACACCACTTCATTTCTGCCTGCTGGTAGAGCTTTCCTGCTACCCTCGGCCTGTGCCTGATGAGACTAAACAGCGATCACAAGGTGTTGACTTCTGCTCGATTCCAGTCTAGGAATGTGAAAGCAGAAAATGAGAAATTAAATCTCAAAGGCTTTATTTGTGAATGTGATGGCTAATCCAGCCATCAACACCTTCACAGCTGTAAAGGTGGTGGTGTAAGGATACTTGATGCAGTCCAACAAATCTTTCAGCATGAAGGGCTGAAAGTAAGTGTGCACTTGCCAAAACCTGCCACATTTCAGTTTCGTGCTATGAAGCGACCTCTGGTTTAGCTTTGCAAAACAGGAGCTGGGAAAAGATGYGAACAAATTAGGTGTGCAGTTGTTCATGCTCTCGCCAGCTTTATGATAAAAGGACAAAACTTTTTCGCTGTATCAGAATAACCTTATGTTTCTTAGAATAAATTGGGATCTACTTTCTCAGCTCACTCAATCACAGTTTTTTATAAAATATTGAGATATATTAAAAATTCCTCAATAATTCCATGGAGGAAAGCCCATTTTGCAATATCTGCTTTAAAAAGTAGAACACAAATTTTTCACTTCTTGTGGCATCGTTTTAAGCAAACTAGCTGTCTTTTGCTAAAGTGTATGGAGAAATYGTTACACATCAGGAAGGTGTGCATTGAGAAAAACTGCACTGTTTAGGACAATTACTCTATTTCCTGTTCTATGGKTTTCTAACTGCCACTTGGAATTACTCACTTTTTAAAAAAAGGGATTAGGGAAATAGGGGATAATGGCAAGCAGTAGTGCATAGGAGCTTTAGTGGGGCACTCTAAATACAGAGTAATTCCATTTCACACTTGTGGATTTCGAAACAAACTGGGATCCTGTGCTTGAGAAGTGCACAGTTTTCCAGGAAGCATATTTATATTGCCTGCAAGGCCCGGTGAGGAGCTGAATAATAGACCAACCTCCTGGAGAGCAGTCTTGGTTTTAGCAACCGGAGAATTCTGCTTTTCAGGCTGAGCGATACTGCTCTGCAAAGTGCAAAAAGCAGACACGGAGCCCCGACGCTTTCGCAAAGTATCGCTGTCCCCATTGCGGCAATGCTGGGAGCAGCCCCCGCTCCCGGCTGGAGCCTCGGGGTGCCCCGTGTGTCGGGAACGCAAAAGAAAGGCTTGTGAGCGTTCATGCCTTCTTATGCAAAGAGACACGGTTGGGAGGGAGGCTGCTTTGGAACAACTTTTACTTCTGGGGCGATGTCAAACCGTGCAAGTGCCTTTTGCGGGGAGGAGGAAAGGAATACATTTTTTATTTTATTGCCCGCGACATACTTTGCTTTGCGCCTGTCCTCATTCCTTG